TGGACATTTATAGGACATTAATACTTATTATAATACTTAAGAGTTCTAAATTATATTAAATAGCCTACATAACTGAAAGTAATCATGTATGCGTATTAAATTTTCATAAAATATATTTATAATGATATCTTAAAACGTCCTACAAATGTCCTGAACCGTCCTGGACATATTCAGGATGATCCTGAGGATGTCTTATGCTGTCTGGGGATACATCGATTAAGAAATTTTTCACGGAGCGGAGCGCGCGCTTGCAATTTCCATTCTCATTTTTCATTTCTTAAGTGAAATCGACAGATAGAAAATTGCGAATACCTTCGCGCCAAACACTCTAATGGCGAGATCGATGACGGCCAAGGCGGAACGCGAATGTTTCGCGTTAACGAGAAAGCATTCATTTCTCCGAATACGAGCTCGACGACCCCTCGCCAGCAGCGCCGAGAAATAATCATCCATGACCATCGCCGTGTCTTTCAGGGACGCTCGTCCCGTTAAACTAAACACGTCCTATAACAGTTACTCGATTAATCTCTCAACGGAGCTTTATCGCGTATCAAAAACATTATTTGCGAATATCCGCCAGCGATAAAATTTACGAATATTGCGATCGCACACGCGGTACTCGCGCCAATGTTTTAGCCTTAAAATATTAGCATATCCCATTTAAGGTAGAGAATGTCTTCCTATATACTCTGTAATGAACCAGACAGCTCTCGGCCAGACCGCCGCAGACGGGATAGTTGTGCACGACGACTTTCTCGCCCATCTGATAGCCTGTCCGCTCGTGTGCCAGTCTGCCCATTTCCAGAATCGTCCCCGACACCTCGAAACCGAGGACCGCGGTCGGCTCCGGGATGCTGCGGTGGTCGCCGCGCCACAGGAGCGCGTCACTTCCGGTCAGTCCGCAGAAGCGCACGTCCACGCGTACCTTTCGCGGATGGAAAAGAAAAGGGCGTGAGCGAATCCACGACCGTCACGGCGAATGGAGAAAGTGTTTATCGCGAATGAATTTTAGCTGGCGACACTTAATCTTCGCGCTGCTCGCGGCCGCGAATCGATTCCTAAGTGAAAGCGAAATTTTCACAAGACCGCGCGCCGAGTATTGTCGTAATAAATTCCGCGATTAGGTCGTGCGACATTATAGTATACTGCGACGTCATAGTTTACCGAGAGATCGGTATTTGCTTTGCCGAATACAGCTAATCCTGTATATACACCGACCAGATGTAGAAATTGCAATTCTACTTGTGGAGACTAGGAAGTAGCGGTGCACCAGCTGAAGCGAAAATAGCAAAGAGAGCCGCGAAATTACATAGTCTGAATTACATAGTTTGAAAAAATTCACACGCACAAGAAAGGTAATAACCATTTCTCGTAGTCTTTTCAATGCTGAAAACGATTCCGATTTGCAAATAGCTGCGTCGCATAATAATTCATAATTTTAAGAAATTAGAAATCATATTTAACGCCAAAAAAAAATACTAGAAATGTGTGATTATCCTTCTTACGTTAAAAAAAAAAGATATTTTTTGTTGAACTATTTTATAGATGCCAAAATATTGCATTCTTTTAGTAAGAAATATCATTCCATTGACGTCATTTAAGATTGATATCACGCGGAAAATATTTTGTTAAGAACCTGCGTTGGTTGAATCGCCTTCTCGGGAATATACTCCAATTGCAGATTACGTGATCCGTGTAGCACTGCGGCTCGTAATTTCCTTCCGGTTTGCATTCTCCACGTCGGCTCCATGGCTTTCCTGAATCTTTCCAACCATGTGGCTGATCTAACAACTTTATTATATCGCATAAATAAATAATTTAAACTTTTCTTCTCGATCGTGACTCGCGGCTCAGTAAGCAGCTTCATCATTTATAACCTGTTACCATAAGACAATTTTTCTATAGATTCCTTTTTTCGAGTATTACGAAAGAAAGACGATCGCCTGTCATACTATCCAAGATATAGAAATTCGTTTATCGAAATATTTTTGAAAAATATAAAGTTTACTAGGAAACTATTATCGCGCGCTACGCGCGCACCATTTATTTTATGTGTATGTCTGTATAATTATTTACACATATTAATTCTAGTTCTCCGTTTTTTTCAAAATAAATTAAATAAAAATTACACACACACTTAATATTTGAACTGTATGTGAGAGTACTCACGGCATATTATTAGAATATTATATGTGCGTGCGTTATATATATAATATTATAAAATGTGCCATTTAGTTTTTATAAATAATAATAGACAAAAATGATTTAAAAATCGCGATATCTCTTGCAATATTGGAGCGTAAGAATATTAAGAGTTCCTTTTATATCTCGTAGGATGCTACCCAGAACTCTAAATAAAAAACCGGAATTGCGAAAAAATTTACCTTTAAAATATGTAAAATTAATTTGAAATATATACTTATATATAAAATTTAATATTTTTGTGTATATATATATGTCGTAGTATGTGAAATATTTCGGCAGCGGATTATCAATAACATAATATTTACCTTGGCGGAGCGGCGTAAACATTGGCGCGCTATCATTTACGTACCATGACTTTGTTATCATTCGCGCGACGACATTCGAGCAGGAAAGTAGTCGTGCGAGACGCTCCGTCGAATTCCTTCTCTAAACGCGATCGCGATCAGTATCGGGAAATTATTTGTTATTATAATTAATAAATTATTAACATTTATAAATATCGTTTATTATAAATTATCGTTTCGTTGCGTTCTTTACGGACAATAATTATTTGTTTAAAAACACAGAGTCAAATATATTTTATCCACGATGCTATATCATTTGACTTTTCGACGATCTAGATATTGGATTAAGAACATGCTGTAAAACGATCGAATCGCAAAATTGAATAATTAATATAATGATAAATTCCGTGATACATTAATAGTTTGATCTATAATTTAAAATAAATAATTGATCTATAATTTAAAATACTTATATAATTTAATATTTCGCATATATATTTTATAATACATAAAATATTTCGGTAGCGAATTAGGACAATACCTAACATGATATTTGGCCTTGGTGGCGTAAACATTGACGCGCCTAAACATTGTTTATGTATCACGGTCTTGTTATCATTCATACGAAGACACTTGAATATAATTGTAGTGGGGCGAGATGCTCAAATTCCTTTCCTACATGTTATTATTCGCACGGCGACACTCGAACAGTAAAGTAGCAATGC